CAAAAGTGCGGATTCCTCTCATGTCCGATGAATCATTCAGCGTAACCTTTAAAATCCCTATGCTAACCGTACCCCAAGGGCTTCTGGATCGAGTTAAGTTAACTCTAGCCGTACTGGAAAGTGGAGCCTTTTTTAGCACGGTGTATACTCTAATTCACATGGGGTCCTCATTTTGTCTTATTACACCTGTGTCTCATTCTATTCACAAAATTGTACAATTGGCATTACAATTTTTAAACAAATTTGGGAATAAGGTTGTTCATATTTTTAAAAAATTTTTAATAAATGAGGACCACATTTAACTAACTATACTGTGTTATTATATCAAGCTTTTATTAATGTTGAGAAGTAAAATAGAACCCCTATTTATCCATTTCATTTCCAATTTATCTACCTACATGAACTGGAGGCATGAACTGAGGAGAATGAAATGTGCTGGGTATGATAAGTGAGGGAATTATGCGTGGGGGAATGAGGTGTGCCTGGTATGACATGTGAAGATATTAACTGTGGGGGAATGATATATGGGAAATGTAATGTGGGGGAATGATGTGTGGGGTATGTAGTGCCCGGACACCAGTGGGATATAATATTCCCCACGATAAGCACCACCACCAGTGTGTTTCGGTAATTCCTGACCCCATGTAGTAATGAGAAAACAGGATCCATAACGCGATTCCACACCGTCTTGAAATAATAACCGTAATCACTGCAAATTTACAATTATATTTGTTAACAAATATTAACGACAATTACACTCTAAACAAAAGTATAGGTTGAGCAAAAAAGAGGATTACACATTTTTTTACCCAACCTTGAGTAAATTTTCGAATTTTTATAAATTTTATAAAGTTTATAGGACCCTATTTATTTTGATAGGTATGCATGTAATTTCAATTTGGAGACAAATCGTCACCTGCGGATGTACTATAGTACTTTATTTTTGGGTAATGATTAATCACACGTTTTGTCACCAATGGGAAATAAGTTAAATATTCGTGTAACCAAACACACGATACATCAGCATTAACAAATTCAATACTTTCATGTACAAAAACATTTTATAGTTACATAAAAATCTTCAATTTTTATAAAGAAACGACATCACCAGAAACGATATGTGCTTGATACACGAGTTTTTCTTAGGTGAAGGAAAAGTAACCATAAGGTGATCATGTTAAAAGATCACCATGGTTACGGCGAAGCCTAGGTATGCAATCAGCTGCAACTTTGAAAAGGTCGCACTGAGATTTCGCCCAAACCGTTCGTTGCATGGAAAACATGCTGAAACAAAAGAACCAGAGAATTCTGTTTTACAGATACGTTTTTTTTATTTTTAAAAAAATTCTAATTCCTTCAGGTAGAAAGTCCGATGCCTAAAATTTCAAATCCATTTCTTGGCATCAAGGAAGTGTTTCCGACCGGGGGCTTGCCATTTTTATTATTCTCCAGGATAATACGCAAATTGTAAGCCTTTGTTCGACTTAATCGGATCAAAACTGACGGAATTAGAGCTTTTTGAAATATTTGCATTAGGCAACCTATTTACGTGTTAAGTTACTGGTTGCTAACGTGCGGTGATAGTTTATTCAGCATCGCTATTCAATACTCAACATATCCAATGTTGCTAGACAATCGAATTACGTTATTATTAGATCGCTAAGTGTCAAGGCATCCTTGACAGAACAGAACAATCCTTAAAATTTTGAAACTGGGGGATTAAATTGGCATGCCACGCATCCACACCCACTGCGGAATTAAATTGGTATGCCAAGCGTCCACAAACAGGAGAATTAACAACGTTTAAGATTTTATAATTCTGGCTGTTAGTCGTAAAACAATATCCCTGGTCGTCATTTTTAAGAATTTTTGAGCAGTTGCTAAGAAATGGTGCAAAATTTAGAGGAATAATTTCATTGAATTTACATAATTTACAGTGCAGACTCCATATAGCCCGAGCCAGGGACTTAGTCTCTGACCACTCCGATAACCCCCAGTGGTCAACCACTTGACCGATTTCGCCAATCTTCAAACTCGTTTCCTAACTTTGTCCAATATGCATATGGTAAAAATTTCAAGTCAATCGGTTCAGTCGTTTTGGCTCTATCGTGTTTTGGGACGGATGGACGGACGGAAATTATGACGGTTCCTTAAGCCCTGACTCAGGCTAAAAAATTACCGGCGAGAAACTGACGTTGAAAGCGATCTAATTCCAGTAAATTATTCCTCTAAATAATGCACCATTTCTTAGCAACTGCTCAAAAATTCTTAAAAACGACGACCAGGGATATTGTTTTACGACCAACAGCCAGAATTGCATATGATTTTATGCATATAAGTTCACAAATCACTAAAAATAATTAAATAAATAAATTTTAAAAAACAAACTTAGGTGAAGGACGCGCTTAAAATATTAAAACAAGAAGCATTAAAAAATGTCATAAATCGCTTAATATTTATTAACTTTTACTTCACCGGGGGCCCAACTGTTAAATTTTCAAAGCAATGATAATCAATAATAAACGTAGCTAAACCAACGACTTGATTAAATATGAAGGGCAGCATTACAGAAGTTATTAAAAATACGCCAGAACATGAGCAAATTTCCTCTATAAGAGGTGTCGCGATTTATTGAAAGATAATCATTCAAATCTTGCAAGTTTAATATACAAATACATATTACGCATTTCGTATAATTGTTCCAAATCCTTGAAAGTATACCTTTTTTCCTGTGTTAGTTGGGCCCCCGGTGAAGTAAAAGTTAGTAAATATTAAACGATTTATGACATTTTGTAATGCTTCTTGTTTTAATATTTTAAGCGCGTCCTTCACCTAAGTTTGTTTTTTAAAATTTATTTATTATCTTATTTCCATTGGTGACAAAACGTCATCTTAATATTTACCCAAAAACAGAGCACTATCTATATTACCTCCGCGGGTGACAATTTATCTCCAAATTATTTAGAGTGTATTAAATAAAACTCTGACCTTTTATGACTTACACCATGTATTCATTTTGTTCTTTACTCCTTAACAATCTATTGTATTTCAGCAGCGTGCAATATTTTCAAACACGTTTCAAAAAAGTTAAATTATCAACCAAAAAATTTAGTTCTTTTAAGATAGAAATCTTAAACTGTATGCAGATTTTAACTAGACAAGTAGGATATATAAATAAACCGTCGCAAACGCGCATACGGAAGTAGCTTCAGACTACTTCACCCCAACCACTCCCATGACATCGCGAAAACACTCAATTTCACTCCATTTCACCTATAGATTCAATTTTTTTAAATCTCATTTTGCCCCGACCACACCCCCTGGCGCGGAGGGGGTGTGGCACAACTCGGGATTACTTCATTTCACTCTATTTCATCCATAGATCAAATTGCACTATAAATCTCATTTTGCTCCGACCACACCCCCTGGCGCGGAGGGGGTGTGGCACAACTCGGGATCACTTCATTTCACTCTATTTCATCCATAGATCAAATTGCACTATAAATCTCATTTTGCCCCGACCACACCCCCTGGCGCCGAGGGGGTGTGGCACAACTCGGGATCACTTCATTTCACTCTATTTCATCAATAGATCAAATTGCACTATAAATCTCATTTTGCCCCGACCACACCCCCTGGCGCCAAGGGGGGTGGTCCGGTTGCCCCCAAAAGTTGATAGGATCCTCCCCCTAGGGTCATATGTATAATGGCGAAAACCGATTTCGATTATCTCAATCCGTTCTTCCGTTATCCTGCTGACAGACGGACAGACAGACAGACAGACAGACAAAGTCTTCGCATAAAGTAGCTGAAGCTACTTAATGATCGCTGGAGAAACAAGTCCCAAATGTTTTTTCGGCAAGAATGGACCAACTGTTTACTTTGCTCATCAAGTCGTTATAGTTATCTGTGTAATAATCAAGACTTGGCAAAATTATGGGGCCATCCATATATTACGTCATCAAAAATTCTCGATTTTAGCACCCACCCACCCTACATAAGCATTAAGGGATATGGAATTTTAACATGGGAAAGATAGGAAGAGATAAACCACCCACCACTAAAATAATGACGTAATATATTGAAATCCCTGTATGAATTCGTGGATAACGTTGAATCACTCACATCCTGTAACTTACAAAAAGTGACTTAACGTTCTCCACGAATTCATACATTTACAGGGTGTAAGGAAGCTGTAGGTCAAAGGATTTGTACAAGGCTGGCGCAAGTCCGCACACGAGCTCGACTAGTTTTTTCTCATAGGTAACCTTTTTAGTAGGATGGATTTCATGTGGTTTGATGTAAACTAGTAGCAGTTAGGGAAGAGAGAGATGAATTGTAATATATTTCTGGCATATTCCGACTAAACATTGTAACGGCTATTTCCAGCAGAAATTTGGCCCAATTTTTTGAAGGAAGACTATGAGTATGTAGTTCCATTCCAAAAATATTTATTATTAAATATGTACGATAACTGTTCCCAGTAGTTAACACAATTGAATACATGGACAGTCAAATTTGTCCATTTCGGTGGGTAAAAAACACTTTTTCGAACTCGTCTTGTGAAAATTATGCTAGGACGGAAAAGTAATCGTATTAGGCCAACTATTTCTTGGAATCCTGGCGTTTGCATGAATCAATGCGTATGTATAGATCAACATGCATTATGTCAGTTTGGCTCACTTAAACTAACCCCATTTACACATGCAGCAGATGCAGCAGATGTGGAGTATACGGAGAGTGAGAAGAAGCTTGTACTTCTCCCGACGCCAAATCCTCTCTGCCGTGATTCTTGCAGGGCGGATGGTATTTCTCCTTCTGAAGGAGACGACGCTACTCCTTGTCCTTGAACATAATGTATAGAGAAGCTGGAGTCACTGTCCGGACAGTGATAAGAATGTATGGATATGGAGACGAGAGTGATGAGAAGGGAGGATGCATGGTATGCATAATTCCTTCACAAGATGTATTTCATTTGTGACGGAAGTTCATGATCATTTAGAGATATTAAATTTATAAAAATGTGGAAATCCAGAACATGCACTTTTTTCAATTAGTAATAAAATAAATAAAATATAAATAAATAAATAAAACAACCATAAAATACAAAAAATAAATAAATGTTTGCTCAAAATAAATATTTTAACCATTTTTTAAACCACTCTATTCCATAATATTTCAGAGGTCGAGGTCGAAAAATCTCGGCGCCGGGGCAAATTTGGTGATTTTTTGACGGCGTCCCCAAATGTTCAAAGAATACGTAATCAAATTTATCGTAGGCGTAAAATGCTACCGGCGTCGCCGACCTCTGGCTAAATCAAGTTTTTTTTCCCACCCTGTATGGACATGGATTTTTGCACACACTACATTTGGTTCCTTCCTCTGACTGAGAGGAATTCTCTCTACTCGTAGTTACTCATTTTGTAAAATTATTTTGGGAAACTTATATTTATTCATTTTTATCTACATACATTGCAAATATGCATTTGTATTTATCTAACATATACTTTCCTACATTACAACTAACGATACAACTTTATTAGTAATCGTCAATAAAAGAAAGGTAATTTGCATTGAATAGTAGCATATAACTTACATAATGTATTATTTTTTAATTATCAGACTTTTTAGTTCAGCCATTCAAAATGGTGTTATCAATGGAGGAACTTACCACCTGGATGACCTACATGACACGAGCTACAATTATTGCGTTCGCATTAGTCGCATTCGTCGGGATATATTCATTCTTAGAAGTCGCTTCCGATAAATCTCTTATGTTCGGTCACTTTATCGTGATTGCGATCTTCTACAAGTTTAAAGTTGTAGCAGATGAAAACAATCAGAGGGAGTTGGACCTCGAATCGTTCCAAAACATGACATTTTATGCATATTTAATTGTAATGCTTTCCTATTTCACGGGGAGGATATCTCAAATGTAATTAATTTACTTATGTATGTGTGTATTTAAAATTTTGAGAAGTGTTTTAAAATCTTATGAAATTTATTTTTAAAGAACAGAGAAATTTGCTATTTACGATCAAAGTGAGATCCAATTGGCGATCTTACCTTTCGTGGACAACGTAACAGGGACGGAGATTAAATCGCCACAAGATTGGTATGAAAATTGCAAAGTACATTTTTGCCGGAACTAAATCATAATCTTATATTATAAACTGGAAATGTCTGTCGGCAACGGAAGTGAGAGCAAATATAGTGAAAGTAAAGAAAGTCAAGTTTCGAATGGGACGAAAATTCAAAATAAATTAAATTTTAAAAAGTGATTTAAATGTCTGATGGTGGTAATCCTGGGGTGCTTATATAGCTTGGGACATCAGACATTTAATTGATTTGAGTTTTCGCACCATTAGAAACTTGACTTTCTTTACTTTCGCATCCGTAGCCGAGGGATATTTCCTGCTAATAATTCTCCATCGCCCGGCGTTAGACGGGCTTATACGCTAGTTAATTGTAACATTTTTTCAGGAAGTCGCAAACAGCCCTGCTCAATTGGGAACCCGAAAGGGGTTTAATTGGGCACGCATCACTGCTCCTGGTTAATCGTGCCTATATTAGTGGATGGCCTACTAGTAATGAAGATCAAACCACTATCAAGGCAATTCTCAAACCCATGCGGCGTAATATTGAACGCACTTTGGGGGACGATATTCGCGAAGAAGGACGCTACCCCAACAGCGTAATATTATTTCCGGAAGATATAAAGCTAAATTATGAAGAAATGATGAAAGAATGGGAGCACATTAAAAACACTCCGTACATGCTGAGTAGGGGCAATTGTGCCCAAACTGTACATAGGATTTTAGAGGCGGGAGGATTACGGATCCGTCAGGTCATGGGGGACGCATATAGATTTCAGTGGCTCTTCCTCGGGCCCGGGATTCTCAAATATTTAGTTAGTGATACAATAATTGTTAAAAGTAAGATTGCCGCTGGGTGGGTGGCAAAACTGATTGTAATTACGACTATAGTGGTGCAAGACTTTATATCGTTAAACTTGCTTACAGCTGTTATTCAAACGGCGTATTGGTGCTATCGCTGGAAAACATATGGGTCTGATGGGTTTGACATGACTATATTCAGAGCAGCATCAAGACCTTTGGTGTACCATCATGTCGTTAAAATAGTTGGGTTTTATTTCCTTGGGGAAACTTCTCGGATTGAATTCTTCATATTTTCAGTGGTAATATCTATCGTTAGCTATTTTATTTTAGGCTAATGTCAGATAGTTTGGAGTTTATAAGAAGAGCGGATTAATTAAATGAGTCCTGAGTATGTTCAGGACATGCGATTTTTTCCAGTTTTAGTACAAATCTGCAAACAATTTTAGGATTTAGCGTTAGTTTAGAAAATGTATAACCAACAATATTTCATGAAACTTGATACCTTTTGCATATGTGTATCATCAAACAATTGCCCACTTATTAGAGTCAATCCTTAAAAATACGACACCCCCTTTAGCCGACAATTTGATTTTGTTTCTGAAATTTTTCGTCGACATTTCTGAGGTCGTTTTTCTCCCAATCAGTTTTGTATCTGGCCCATCTTTTACAAAGTTTATTCTTATATTTATAAGGTATGTATGTATCTGGCTAATTAATTTAAATCTACTTTGATAGCAATTTACAAACGGACGGTATAATAAGCGTGGGTTCGATTGGGGTGTTCTCCTAGAAATAAACTTGCATATACTATTTTATCCAGCAGAAAATAAAAATTGCATACAAATTGCATTAAATTTTTCACGCACAATTTTTTTAATAATTTTAATTAATAATTTTTTAAATATTTTAATAATTTTTCATTTGTTAGTAAATCACGATAAACTTTTACGACTAAAGCATTCATCTTCTAATCAATCTTCTATCCTTTTTACATACGCATACATTTTTGGCGCCGAACTGATACATTCCCAAATCGAGAAATATTTAACAACGTGCACTTAATTAATTGCACATTGAAGCTTTAAAAAATTGGTGTTAAAACTGAACTGGAAATCCGAATATGTTTGTTCTCAGACAAAATTGAGTATTTTATTCAGCAGAAAATTAGAATTGAATAAAAATTACATCGAATTTCAAAATCATTATTAAACTTAAGAAAAAAATGAATAGTAAAACTGAACCATGTCCTCCCAGAAACAAAATTGCATACTATTTTATCTTACAGAAAATCAAAATTCCACAAAAATATCACTCAACTTCTAAATCATGATTGAATCCATGTGGAACAGCATCTTTTAATCAAATTTACAAGCTCTTTAACATTCACACGAGAAATATTTTGCAGCATGAATCAAATTTAAATGAATCCTAAAACTCAACCAGAGTTGGTAGTCCTCCTAGAATCGACATTGCAAATTATTTTATCCAGTAGAAAATCCAAAATTGCATAAAAATGCATTAAAGTTCTAAACCATGATTGATTCTTTTGAGAGTGTGATGATTTCATCTTTTAATCAATTTTGAAATCCTTTTTACTTAAACACAAATTCTTGACGTTGAACTGCTACATTTACAAATGGAGAATTATTATTTAGCAGCTTGCATCAAATTAGAAATCAAAAAAGTTTAGAAACAACTGGAGCAGATTCCAGTGCTGTTTCTTCCAAAGAACAAGATTGAATTCTATTTTATCAAGCAGAAATTCAAAGTTGCAACAAAATAGCATTGAACTATTGCATGTCTAAATCATGATGAAACTGTTAATATGTAAATCAAAATTACAAACTTTTTACATGCACACACATTTTTTAGGCCGAACTGAAACATTTCCAAAACAAGAAATACTTAACAGCGTGCAGTTAATTAATTACACATTAAAGGGTAAAAAAATGGATCATAAAACTGAAACACACGCAAATCTGGAGTTTTCCCAGAGACAAAATTGCATATTATTTTATCCAAAAAATATTCAGAATTGCATAAATCCTTCATGAAACTTCTAAATCTTGATCTAGTTATAATCCTCTACAATCTTATTATCAAATTAGTAGCCATTTTAAATGCACACAAATTTTCGACATCGAGCTGCTTACATTTACAAATCGAGAAATATTAACTGCATGCATTTAACCAATTATACTTTAAAGTTTAGGAAATGGAACAGATGCAAATTTTCCATTGACTTTATAATTTTTTTGTATAAACTAATATATTTTTTGCCTCGGACTATGTGCATCAAGTTTGTCGTTAAAACGTTTTAAAAAAATGGATCATAAAACGTGATTATATTCGAACGCGGTGTCCTCCTAGAAAAAAAATTGCATACTATTTTACCAGCATAAAATCAAAATCAGATGAAAATTGCATAGAATTTTGAAATGAACAAATAAAACAAATTTAATGCGATCTGTTACCAAACTTTGTGACCTTTTTGACACCCACGCATTTTTGACGTAAATTGGTACATTTCCAAATCCAAAAGGTTTTAGTCCAGTCTGCTAATTAATTGTACTTTAAAGTTTAGGAAACGGACCGTAAAACTTGACCACTGTGGTGTCCTCCCAGTAACAAAATGATTTACATGCACTATTTTATCAACAGAACATCAAAATTGTTTACAAATTACATTACATTTCTAAATCATGATTGACTTGGGCTTCTTGGGGTCACACCTTTTAATCAATTTTGAACATATCTTTTTACATGCACACATTTTAGACGTGGAACTGATGCATTTCCAATCCAAACTGAGAAATATTTAGCAGTGTGCATTTAATTAATTACTTACGCATTAAAGTCTAGAAAATGAATTAAAAACCTGGACCAGATTCAGATGTGGTGTCCTCGCTGGAACAAAACTACATTCTATTTTGTCCAGCAGATTTCCAAAAAATTGAGATTTTAAACCAAGTGAAGATTAGGAACACCGTTTTTACAGAGGCCCACAAATCAAACAAAATTGTATTGTTTTATCGGAAAAAATTCAAAATTGCACACAAATTGTTTGATCATTTAAATCAGAGTGAACCATACACAGCATACAATCTGTTATCCAACTTTATAATCTTTTTTTACATGCATATACACTTTTGACGTTGCGCCGAAACAATTCCAAAACGAGAAATACTTACCAGTATGCGTTTAATTAATTGCACATTAAAGGGTAGAAAATGGATCGTAAATCTTGACCAGGTTGGGACTCGGTGTCCTCCCAGAAACAAAATTGCATTCTTTTTTGTCACCGTAAAATCAAAATTGTATCAAAATTGCATTAAACTTCTATATCAAAATGGTGGAATGTATATCTTTTATTCAAATTAATCTCCCAATTTCATGATACATTTCCAAATCGAGAAATATTTAGCAGCGTGCGTCAAGTTGGACAATACAAAGTTTAGAAAATTTATCGAAAAAATGGACCAAAAATGCAAATAAAAATTGGATTAACAACAACTATTTTCAGACACAAAAGTGCATCTAATAAAGAGAATTTGGATATCTTTATATTAATTTTAAGACGTTTTCTTTTTTTGTAGAAAACTATTTTCGACGTCAAACTGATACATTTCCCAGTGGAGAAATATTTAGCAACTTGCATCAATTAATTGTGCATTAAAAAGTTTAGAAAACTGACCGTAAAACTGGACCAAATTCAGATGTAGTGTCCTCACACAGACAAAACTGCACATACTTATTTATCAACATAAAATCAAAACTGTGTCCAATTTCGTAACCTCTGGTTCGTATGCATGCATACATTTTTATAGTCGTATAATTCCAAATTCGGGAATATTTAACAGACTGTGCTGTATGTGAAAAAGGTAGTAAAGTTGGTTACAAGGTGTTGAACAGTTCAATCATCAATCTTTAGTAGCGTGCAAAAAATTACCCAATTATTAAGGCTTAGAAAATGGATCATAAAACTGGACCAGATCCCAACGTGGTGTCCAACAAAATCGCATTCTAAGTTATCCAGCAGCAAATCAAAATTGCATAAAATTGCGTTGAATTTCTAATTCATGGTCGGACTTCCGATCAAAATACAACGCATCTTATGCTAATTTTGCCATTGTTTTTATATGCATACACATTTTTGACGTTGAACTGATACATTTCATCGACTAAAATTTATTCTACAACAAGAATGCGGTGTTCCGTCGGAAATAGAAATCAAAATTGCACAAAAATTGGGTTCAGCATTTAAATCATATATGCATCTGTTGCCAAACTTTAAACCCTTTTTACGTACACACACATGTTTCACGTGAACCTCATACATTTCCAAATTCAGAAATATCTAATAGCGTGCATTTAAGTATTACATGTTGAAGTTTAGAAAATGGATATTAAAACTGGACCAGATTTAGATGTTCTGTCCTCCCAGAAACAAACCCAAAATTATATTCTTATCCAGCAGAAACTCAAAATTGCACCGAGCTTTAAATCGTGATTGAACAAATAAAAAAATGCGATTTTTTAATCAACTTTGTAACCTCTTTTACATTAAGACCCTTTTTTATCGTACAACTGCACCGATGTATATTATGCACCGATGTATATCATTTTAAGAAAGTACAATTTTTATTATGCATGTATCAATTTCCTCACAATTTTATAAAATGTAAAGTTTTACCTGTTTCTTTGCAATTTGAACGCCAAAATTAAAAGTTTTACCTCTTTCTGTGCAATTTGAACGCCAAAATTAAAAGTTTTACCTGTTTCTGTGCAATTTGAACGCCAAAATTAAAGTTTCAGGCTTATAGATTTTATTTAATTCTTAAATGGTGGTGGCGCTGACATCATATTTTTTTGGACCACCAGTCAAAACTGGTGGTCATTTTCATTTTTTTTCATCTCATCATCATTCTCACTCCAGTTTTTTCGCAAATCATTTCCAAAAATTTCTGCTCGTTTCCAATTAAAATTTTAATTCCGGAAGCTGAACGATGATGTCAAAAGCCGCTCAATCCGTCCCTGGACCTTCTCACGTCGCCGGAAATACCACCTATCCGGTCATCGCTGCCACCATCACGGCGACCCCAAGGATAAAAACCGAAATCTTTTCGCAACAACCGCAGGGGGAACCGTTTGAGGTGTATTTGAGCAGTGACGACGAGGATGAGGAAGTCGAGATCGAGGAAAACAAAATGGTGAGTAAAAGTGACCTTGACGTGGTTCCGACCAATTTTCTAATCAGTTGTGACATGTTGTTATCATTTTTCTAGAAAGTGGCCGACACACTGATGCAAATTTTACGCTGGGTCAAAATAAAGGAAAAATCCTTCAAGCCAAACATCACAGCGGCGCCGGTGAGAATATTCGGTCAAATTTCATCAAATTTGACTACATATTTTTTAAGTTTTATTTTTAAGTCATCATTTTGTGCAGATTTCCGACAAGAGATATCCACCTTCGGCTCGGATTGCCCGCAAGTTGCAAAAACTTGTCATCGCGTTGGAGGACGTTCTCGACGTTCTGGATGATAAGAGACGTCGAGGATTTCCCCTCTACGAGATGCGGAGGGCGCAGAGGAATAAACTATGGAGAGCAGCAGCAATAGGGCCGGAAATGATGCTTGACTTCGTTCTTGATGAGGAAATGTCGACAATTCCGCCAGCCAGACGAAGACCATCACCTCCAACCCTGCCTGTCACCCCGCCAGCAACAACAATGTCGGAAATGATGCTTGACTTCGTGCCAGTCGAGGAAATGTCGGCAATTCCGCCAGCCACGCCAACATCGTCAACTCCACCGCCCGTCAATCCGCCAGCAACAGCATGGCCAGAAATAATAGTTGACGAAGACGAAGAGGAAGGGTCGGCAATTCCGCCAGCGACGCCAAGATCGTCAACTCCACCACCACTGCCCGTCACTCCGCCAAGGTCAGCATCGAGCCAATTTGCAAATCGGAGAAAATCCAGCCGGACTACGAGACCAATTCTGAAATTAAACGTCTCCACCACACTCAAGTCCACCTCAGGCAGAAAGAAGGTAACCTTTTCTTACAAATTTAATTCTTTCACTGATTGGAGATCCCCAAGGAATTGCTCTCCGATTTTAACCAAATTAGTGGCAATTGATTAAAGGTTTGATTGGTATGAAATTTATTACCACCCCCAGTTTGCATCCAAATAGGCGAAAACACGCAGTAAACTTGGGAAGTGTAAGATTTGTCAACTTTAGAGCGCGTTTTCTCCTCTTCGTATGCAAATAGCTCTGCAAAAACGTGTGGGAGATCGTGTCTTTTGCAACCTTCATCCTAAATAAATTTGTCATCGATTGACAATAGTTTGCTCAAAATCGGAGAGCTGGGAGTCCTGCATTCTAAGATTTTGAAAATTTAACAAACAAGTTTTATTTACTATTTCGTAAAAAACAGAGATTACTAATTGTGTCTACTTAATCAAGGACAGGATTGAAGACCTTAATAATTACTAACTGACTAATTATATCTTTTGTGTCCATCCAGAATTCCAAACCCAAACACCACCACCAATGCCACGTTTGTCAAAAAGCGTTCCTCCGCATGTCACACCTAACCCGGCACCGTTTCACACACCTCAACGAAGAAGAGAAGACCGTGGCGAAGCAGACTTGGAGAATCGAGTGCTTCTTTTGCCAGAAGAGGTTTCCCAATCAGTCTACTTACGATATTCACCTGGTCACCCACACGGGGGAAAAATTCTTTCGATGCGACCAATGTGGGAAGCAGTACTCTCGGAATAGTCAGTTGACGGTGCACAAGCGCAGCCACGGCGCCAACCCGAAACCCTTTAAGTGTGTGGAGTGTGGCAAAACTTACACTGAAAAAGGGACCCTGGTCAGCCACAAAAAAATAGTTCACGAGAAGCTGAAGAACTTCAACTGTGCGGAATGTGGCAAAACTTTCGCTACAAAAAGGAATATGGTTAAACACAAAAAAACCGTTCACGAGAAGCTGAAGAACTTCGACTGCCCCCCAGTGCCCGAAGAAGTTCACCACCAAGTTTTACGCGGCCGAACATTTGAAGAGCGTGCATCAAAAAATTTCGCACCCCTGCCCCCACTGCAATGAGTCGTTCAGACACAAAGCTAGTCTTCGAGGACATGTGAAGAAGTTTCATCTGGCATAATCCAATCAAATAATTCCAATCCTTAAACGATCCAGAGTATGACAATGAAGGTCTCGCAGCGTATGTTCCCCGATTTTGGCCAAACCGATCACAAATTTAATTAGTATGAAATTTTCGAAAGACACGATCTCCCAATGGGCACGCTTGGCAGAGATGTTTGCATCCCAAGAGGAGAAAACGCGCAAGTAAATTTTAAAATTTGTCAACTTTTCGACGCGTTTTCTCCTCTTCGGATGCAAATACCTTGGGCAAACGTACCCATTGGGAGATCGTGTCCTCTGCAAATTTCATACTAATTAAATTTGGCATCAATGGATACAAATTTACTCAAACTCAGACAGCATACGCTGGGAGACCTCCATTGCAAGTTAACAACTGTTTTAAATTAGATGAATAATTTCCTGATTTTACGGTGCAATGAAAGGCATTCTTTTTATAAAAGTTGTACAATAATTGTCAATAATTAAACTTGTAAGCATATCAGTTTAAGTAACAAATGTTGATGATCTTTTCCTTGTCCTTTATGTAATTTTGTAATTGTTTCCCTAAATCTACACAGTTTATAAAGTTGGCGTGAATATACCTAACTCGTGCGTGCGTGTGTGAAAATGGGATTATTTCTGAAGTTTCAGAAACCCGAAAATTGTACAAAAATTAAATTTACAATTTGAATCAATCCATTGTTAATTATAGTCAATCATTAATTCCTTAATTTTTGTAATCCCTTAATTGTACATTAAAGTTTTAAAAAAATTGTAATAAATCTGTTAAGGAATGTTTAAGATTCGGTGTCCTCCTCCTAATAAGCAAAATTGCTTGGCGTTTATACATATTAAAGAAATTATAGAGTATGTTTAATGTTTTTAAAATTGTATTCTCTGGCTTTCATCGATACTTTAAATTAGTTGAATTAAAAAAAACTTATTAAAAATTATGACGAGATTAAAAAAAGATATTTTCTTGGTTGTTTTTGAACCGTCGTCAGCTTAATTAATCAAATTTTGGGGTAAGAGTCATATTTGGGAAAAAATGTGAAAAAACGCAATGAATAACGTTCAATTTAATGTCATCTCAGGATTTGCGACTCAAAAATCCGATCTGTGAGCTAATTAATTTTATAACCTTTTTTACTCACGCACACATGTTCGACGTCGAACTGATACATTTCAAAATCGAGAAATATTTAACAGCGTGGATCAACTTGGGCATTCTAATTTAGAAAATGGACAGTAAAATTGAACCGTATGCGGATTATGTATGCCGGCCTCTCAGCTAATTCTACATTTTCCGGTAGAAAATTAAGATTATCACATTTTAATTCTTAAAATTGTCGATTTCAATATGGCGAAAAAAGCTGATTTTTTAACATTTTGTAACCATTTTTCTTAAACCAATATGTACATTTTTGCCTACTACGATAATGCACAAAATTCCCAAATGCATATTCGAGGGAAGAAATATGTTAACTGTGTAAATTCTCCGGTATAAATTTCAAATCAAATTATATTATTCATCAAAACGAAGGCATGCATCAAAGACGGGTGAATTATTCCTTTAGAAATGTGCAAAAAATACGAAACCCGGCAAGAATCTTAAAATCAATTTAGTTCCAACAAATCGTATCAACTTTTTACATATACGCAGTTTTGACGTCGAACTCATACATTTCCAAATCGAGAAATAGCTAACAGCGTGGATCAACTTCAATTCAATTCAGTGTTTATTCAAGTGACAGAAGTACATAATATGTTGTGATACACATTGTTTCCAGTACAAGGTCACACTAACTAGTTGATAAAATATATGAACATATCTATTTCTATTCTTGGGCATTCTAATCTAGAAAATGCATCCTACAATTAGACCAGATGTGAATACGGTGTCCTGCCGGAAACAAAATTGCACTGTTTTATCACCAGAAACTCAAAATTTCATCAAAATTGCTACTTCTAAGTGCACTTCTAAATCAAGATTGAAATTGAACTGTTCAAAGTTTGGGTCATCTTTTATAACTACGCTTGCAATGCAAGCGTTTTTGCATACACATATATTTTTGTCGTTGAACTGATACATTTCCAAAGCAAGAAATATTTAACAGCGTGCATTTAACTAATGAATCAGAAGCAAAATTGCATGATATTTTGCCACCAGAAAATGTAAATTGCACAAAATATACACAAATTTCTAAATCGGGATGAAATTATCAAGAGCTGGAGGATAACCTTTTGACAATTTTATAACCCTTTTTACACACACACACATTTTTGACGTCGAACTGATACATTTCGAAATTTCGAAATATCTAGGGGCATGCATTTAATTAATTGCCAATTAAAGTAACAAAAAAAAATCTTTAAACAGCACCAGCCGCGAATGCAAATTGCATTAAACACTTTTCAGAAACAAAATTTCATTCTGTTTAACTATCAACAAATCCAAACTCACTATTTAGGTCTCCAAACTTATTCTCACAGATTTGAACCAAACTGGTGTCAACCGATCACGAATTTAATCAGTATGAAATTTGCAAATGGCACTATCTGCTAATTCTCAGGTGTGGCGAACATAATTGCATAAAGATAAAATAAAACGCGCAGTAAGTTTGGAAATTATAAAATTTGTCGACCTATTGGGGCACGTAAAGTACCAAGACGAAAACCAGTTAGAACATAAATATATCAAGACTGTCTTGGGGCGTACTGCGATTTTAATTGTTAAAAATTGTTTTGTTAATTACGCACAAAGTAGATTTTACAAAATTTTAATTGACTTTTGGATGTTTTAAAATTTAAAAACGGCGACGATCAACCAGTCACTATTCAGATATGCATTATTATATTATGATTATTTAAATTAATAACATAAGCAAAACCAGCAATATGGATTGAAACAGAAGTTCGTCCAATGTTAATTCTCGATTTTTTGAGACTATTAATATCTACAAAAATCTGTTAATCAATTTTCTTACCCTTTTTTCATGCAAACACATTTTCGACGTGAAATTGATACATCTAAGAAATATTCAAGAAATATTTAACAGAGGTGGCTTAATTATTGCACTCAAAATAAGGTAGTAATGAATCATTACCATGCGGAATGACTATGTGGTTCTACCACGTCGGTTACGATCTGTCGTAAAAATGGTAATATAATTTCAGGAAAATTCAAATTCATTACCAAATATTAAGGACGTGAATACCATTATGTATTAAATTTGAATTTCCCTGAACTTATTATTACCATTTTTACGACAGATCGTAACCGACGTGGTAGAACCACATAGTCATTCCGCATGGTAATGATTCATTACTACCTTATTTTGAGTGTGGGACATTACAAATTTTAGAAAATAGATCTGGAAGAGATGCAAATACGGTGTACAAACATTTTTAATGTACAACTGATACGTTTCCAAGTCAAGAAATATATTTTTTTAAATCAGAAAATCAAAATTGCATGCAGATAACGTTGAATTGCTGAACCATAATTGAACTTCTGTAGTCTTGTGGGCACACCTTTTAATCAATTTATACCTATTTTTTCATACCCACATTTTTGACGCTGAACTGATACATTTCCAAATATTTAACAACTTGCATTAATGAATTAACGCTAAAATTTATAAAACGGATCATAAAACTGAACCAGATGCAAATGTGGGAAAAAATTGCATACCATTTTATCCAACAAATAATTAGAATTGTATAAAACCCTGCATTAAACTCCTAAATCATGATTAAGTTATAATCCTCAACAATCTTGTAATTAACTATGGAGTCATTTTAAATACACACAAATTTTCGACGTCGAGCTGCTACAAATCGAGAAATATTTAGCAGCATGCATTTAACAATTGCACATTATACGTTAAAGTTTAGAAAATAGATCGTAAAACGAAATTTAAAAAAGTGCATAATATTTTTTCAGCCGAAAATCAAACTTGTTAAGAACTTCTAAATCAAGATTCACGATGCATAAAAATTAAAAAAATAAGTCGATCTGTTATCCAACTTAGCAACGTTTTTACAAACACACAAATTTTAGACGTCGAACAATTTTCGAATCGAGAAACTTTTAGCAGTGTGTATCAAATTGAGCATAATTAATTGTAAATTAAGGTGCGGATGATGCCACCCGATCAATCGCACCCCGGCTAACGCACCCCACCATTGCCACCCCGAGGATAATGCCACCCCCGATCAATCGCACCCAAGTAATCGCACCCCTGTAGATGCCACCCCTTATCAATCGCACCCCTAGGAGTATCCCACCCCCGATTTTGTGAGATTTCGACAAATTTTCAGGCACTAATAAATGAGTGTAAATATGCGATATGTTTCTGTATTTATTGGAGTTGTAAGACAATGCTAAGCTTATCTCACGAGTGAGATTTTGAGTTACCGTCATTGTTTTTAAATAATGGACACAATCCTAAGAATTCATGAAGGACTTACATATGTATTAATCCTGTTACTAGCAAGAATAAAGTAAACGTGTACGTATGTATATACATATGCCTTTCTTAATGCTTCCCTAATGCTTGTAATTTATTCGAATTTGATCAGGCGTAATAAATTAAATTCACATTTCGACAAAAAATCTAAAAAAAATAAAATCTCCGTAAAAATTGAAACACATAACTCAATATCAACGAAAATAAATCTCAGTAAAAATTCAAATATCGTCAAAATATAAACAATTAGGTCTACAAATTAATCAGTTCAGCTTTATTTTTGCTACTAATAGGATTAATGTGTAAATCCTTCATGAATTCTTAGGATTGTGTCCATTATTTAGAAACGATGACGGTAACTCAAAATCTCACTTATGAGATAATCCTAGCATTGTTTTACAACCCCAATAAATCAAGCAACATATCGCATATTTATACACATTTATGTGTGCCTGAAAATTTGTCAAAATCTCATAAAATCGGGGGTGGGATACTCCTAGGGGTGCGATTGATAAGGGGTGGCATCTACAGGGGTGCGATTACTCAGGTGCGATTGATCGGGGGTGGCATTATCGTCGGGGTGGCAATGGTGGGGTGCGTTAGTCGGGGTGCGATTGATGGGGTGGCATCATC